CCGTACTCACGAAATTCCGCTTTGTAATTGTGCCCTGTAATGCAGCACAATATCACCGCTTCGAGGGGGCGGATACCCAGGGCGGGGGCGGGGAAAAGGGGAGGGGCGGAAACAGCGAGTGGAGGGGGTGGGGAAAAGGCAGAGAAATTTGATGAATTGCCTCAAAGTTTGATGCAAAAACGCATGATCGCACTGGCTCGCCTGGTGCGTTCCAGCCTGTGTTGCTTATATGCAAATTGCAAAAATGCATATTGCGAGGACTCTGTGTGTGTATGTGTGAATGTTTGTTTGTGTGTGTGTGTGCGTGCCTCTGCGTGCGTGTGTGTTCGTCTGTCCGGGCATTTCAGCTCGGCGACCAAGCATATTCCGGCACAAAAGTTTTGCCAGTGGGTTCCCCGGCCAAGTGCAACAGCAGGGCAGCGGTACCGACTCTCACGCAATTCTGGGCCCCGTGTACAAAAAGGTGAATGTTTTGGCGGGAAAATTGCCAACTCAGGAACGAGAAAAGCTAGAAAGCTGGAATTTTGAGGTTATGTTCTGCGTCCACATAGAAATCAAAGATTTCAAATCCAGCCCCAAATGTGCTTGGTTCCCGCGTACGGCTCCGTTCCTGGCAGAGAAATCGCTAGCTTGGGAACGAGGAAAGTTAGGAGGATGAAATTTTAGAAGAATATTACTCGCCCACGTTTAACATAAATTTATCAAATTCACCCCCAGGCAAGTGTTGTTCTCTTGTATGGCTCCGTGAAAATTTTTGACGGGGAAGAATTGCTAACTCAGGAAAGAGGAAAGTTGGGAGGCTGAAATTTTCAGGAAATATTCCTGCTCATATGCAACTAAAAGCTTTTAGATTCAGCCCCCGGCATGCGCGGTCCTAACGTACGGCCCCGTGAAGTGGGCGGGAAAACGGCCAATTCGGGAACCAAGAAAGGGAAGGCCGAAATTTTAAAAAGATGTTCTCAACCCACGTACAACTTGAAAATTTCAAACCCAGCCTCCAGGTACGCCCTCCGGCTACGTGTGGTCTGATAAAATTTTTGGCAGAAAAATTGCTAACGTGGGAACAACAAAAGCTAGAAAGCTGAGATTTCAGGAGAATATTCCTCGTCCAAGTACAACTTAACGGTTTCCAATTCAACCTCCAGATGTGCGTGGTTCTCATGCATGGGCACTTAAATTAAAATTACTCATGGTACAGCTGGGTCTTTTTCTAAAAAGTGGAAATGGTGCTACGGCGGATGTTTGTCAAAAAATCCAAATATGCAAATGAACTGATGTTCATTTACATAATTGGATGAGGGCGGTCGTTCACTCGTTTCTAATTTTTTGGGTAAAGTTGAGTATTTCTCAGGCCCACCTGTAGAGAATTTCACCTTTAAGCAGAATTAAGACCACACTTGAAAGTAAAATACATCAGCGAATTTTGAGCCTCGCACCTTATCTGGTAAGCGAAATATTCACTTCCCTACAAATATCTTTGAAGTGCCTCAAGTTGTGGCGCAAGTGGAAATCGGTACTCATTTAAAGTATACTATTTATCTATCTATTTATTATCTATTTCCGTTAACTATTATCTATTTCCGTTATCTATTTTATCTATTTCCGTTTATACAAAATTTACGATGATTCACGGTATTGAGTACACAAGGCAGGTGTGAATAAACAACCATTCATGCAGTTAACCTAATTCAAGTTTGGCGCAAAAACGCACGATCGCACCGGCTCGCCTGGTGCGATCCAGTGTGGATTAAACTTTGGAATTGTTGCTGGTTTGTAATTCGTGATAAGAAGAGACATTCGTTTAACAACTCAAATCGAAGCATCTTTATCGCGCGACATTTTTTGTGTAAATTTAGCAGAATTGACACGTGAATGCGCATTGAGTCGTCATTAATCCGCGGTATTTGAGGACACGACACTGGGATTTGTAAAGATAACAGTTGTTCACGCGGTCTTTACAATGACAGCGCGAGCAAGTCTTCGCGCATCTCTTCCAACTTTCTTTGTCACTGCATGACGTCGCCGGGTCGCAGTGCCTATCCTCGTCGTAGCAGCATTTGCCAACACCACAGGTAGCAGAGCAGTGGTATTGCATTTTCTCTTTGGTCCGGTCATTAAGGCAAAGTCCAAGCAGAGCATACCTAACGCAGTTCACATGCATATCCACACAGTTGCCTGAAATAACAATTCGCTGAATTGAACAAAATCATATTACAATAACAGTAGCTGCTGCTGCTGTTGCTATTGCTATTGCTATTGCTGTTGCTGTTGCTGTTGCTGTTGCTGTTGCTGTTGCTGCTGCTGTTGCTGTTGCTGTTGCTGT